TATCCTTTTACCTTAACAATTTCCAAATACAGTATTTAATTCTGGCTCTGATTTTAGTAAGCTCTTAGCTAAAGCTAAGGTTTTACAGGTTTCCTATAGGGTTTGTTCATAATTTAAATGTCAAGTAAATCTTTGTAAAGCTTTGATTTTTATAGGTCAGCAACTTTATCAATCATATTTTCAAAATAATCTATCAAAAATAAAAGTAGATACTATTTAAATAATTTTAAATGAAATTTTACCCTGAAATATTTTGCCTCTCTTATTTCTCTAGTGCCAACAAAGAAATAACTATAATTTTTAAATCTTTTTAAATATTATCTTCAATAGCTTGATATAGTAGAACATTTTCTTTGTGATATACTATAAGTTAGTAAACCATCCTATTTCTTTAGAAATCTAATTACTTTGAATGAAATCTCATTAATGTAAAGCCTAAATTGTTACCAAAAATTAAGATAAAATTATGAGACAATGTTGCCTAAGAAAAATAATAAAAGGTTATAAAATTATATGTTCAAAGTATTTTTACTTAAATGCCATACATGAAAAACTGTGATGCCTAAAGATAGAAATATTAATCTAGCAAAGGAAAATGTGAAATGATATGAAAAGACTTCGGAAAGACCCAGAGCAGGGCAGCTTTTGAAATAGTCAAGAATCACTTAGGAACCAAATAAAACGTAGCTTGCTTGGCAGCATTCCCAGATATCCTGAGTCAGATTTGAGGACAAAGATGCCCTTAAGCAAACGCAAGTCTGCTAGACATAGTAACTGTATATAACCAATATACATTATTTTAGATCTTTTCATGATGTATTCAATTCTACTTGTCACTTCTTATATTCGGGAAATACTAACATAAGAAAAGTTGATTAATTTTTAATAGACATACATTTAGATCAATGAGTTATTTGGTTAAAATCACTCCACAAAAATATAACTAGAACTAACTTAAATAAAGTAGAATTTTTTTTCTCATTTGAGAATTTCATGTATTATGTTTTCTTAAAGTTTGTTTTTGCTTACTTGTTTTTATAAAGAATAGAGAACAGAGTGTGAGTTGGACTTGTGTAATAATAAGCTAAAATGTAAACACTGAAGCTATTAAAGAATCTAAATATCGAAATAATGGAAAATAGTATTTAGATTTTGCATGATGACATAAGAAGTCCATATACAGATCTGGATAGCTGAGACAGTCTACGTGACTTTTCCTGTGTTCGTATGAATCACTAGAGGGCAACATATGCTATACCTTTTGACAATTACATATCGCAGAATTGTTTGTAGATACGGAAGAGTGAAAGCAGAGACAAAAACAGGAAGAAAACATAAAAGCTGCAACTATAATTACTGCTAAAATCATTAGTTAATTTATTTAACTGCATGAAACCATCAGTAGCCAGTTATTTTAGTAAGAAAACCTATCTAGTGAAGTCTTAAGGTTTTTTTTCTCTTTAATTTTTGTAAAAATCAAGTAGACAGGGTCATTGTGCCTGAAAGTCATGCATACAATCATGAAGAATATAAATGTAGAAAGTAATTTAAAAACGGAGTCACCTTGGTTTCTTTAATCTCTCAAACGTATGTATGAATTACTGGAGGGTAGCACGATCTCTTTTTTTCCTGCACTGAGTGCCCCACCAATAAAGCCTGTTTTTTTCCCCCTTTACATTGTATTATATGGACTCATCTCATCACCGCTTAGGTTTAAAAAAAGGCATGAACATGGTGGCACATGCCTGTAATCTCAATGTTTTGGAAGGCCACAGTGAGAGGATTACTTGAAGCAAGGAGTCCAAGACCAGCCTATGCAGCAAAGTGAGACCTTCCCACCATCTCTACAAAAAAAAATATATATATATATATTGAAATGAAAGGAGAAAGTTCCAAGTGAGAGACTCAGAAATTGACCCCCTCTTCTACTAGAATTAAGGGAAAAGAAAGCAACACATTTTAGTAAGTGCAATTCTGATTGTCATACTTAACAGTAAATTTAAAAAAATACTTTTGTATCTAGACACTTTTTGTTGTATTTATACAACACTGTTTTTGTTCTAATTATATGCTATAAATCCTATAAATCAAATTGGAAAGAAAGTTGGTTACAATAATAAGTGAATGAATTTAAAAATGAGTGAATTTAATTAATCAATTTTCTGTTCCCTCAAAATTAAAAAATACAACAACCAAAAATCTCAAACTAAAATTGGGAAAAGATACAAGATATGGATAAAGAGAAACTGAACATAGTAAAAAAAAAAAAAAACAAAACTGCATGTTTTCAGCTGCAACATTTATTCTAAAAAAGCAAACTTTATCTTTTATTATATATCCTAATTCTGCTGTCTCAAATACAGCAGATGGTTATAATTATCAGTTAACTTTTAAGCACGTACCATGTGCTAGGTAAAATGCTTTATTATCTCATTTAATGATCATAAGGCATTTATGGAATGGGAACTATCATCACATACATTTCATCCATGTGTAAACTGAGACTTTATAGGTTGTAGTTTGTTGAGAATCTGAGGCACAAATCCAAGCATTGAGTCCAGAGCCTGCAATCTTAACTACTGTGCTTTACTGCCTTCTGTGGATAGAGGCTGTCTCAGTAGAAGAATAATAAAACAATTAGGCATTTCTACCCAAATATAGTCATATAAATTTCACATTTATTCAAAGTTGCTAATTCTCTCTCGTTTCATTGGTCTAAAAGTCTTCATGGGAACATTATGCAGGTCCACATTGCTTGTAAAATTTGTGGAAGAGTTGAAACATTTATATGTGTAAAATTAATATGGCTTATTTTAAAAACAGTAAACCAGGGTCCAATTTCAATATAAGAAGCATATGAGCATACTTTAGAGTTGGGTAATATATGCTGAAATAAATTTAAACAGTGTTTAGGTAAACACTGGGGGCCTTTAAAGAAAGTTGTTACTTTTTCACAAGGTTAATGATAGAGCTATGTATTTATCCATTCATTTGGTAGTTTTGTAAACACCTCTGTTTTTTGGCATTTATGAAGGCTAGAGGAAACATAAAGCATTATTCCAGTCCTAAAACAATTAAATAATTGGTCTCCTCTTTACCTTTGTTTTCATATTTTGTAATTACATTTCTCTTGTTTTAGAGTTAACACACTAGGCAGTGAAACACTATTGAGTGAAAAATACAAACACCAAAATATTTGGGGTGCTGGTAGACCTTCTGAGGTGTGTGTAATTAATCATGACTTCTAGGAATTTTGTATTTATTGAACTTTATCCAAAAACTTTATTACATTAATCAGCTTAAGTAGATTGGCATTGTCAATAATTTTTTGCTCTTAGTTATGAAGTTTTCATTTTTCTTTTTCTGGTTTTCAAAGAACTTCTTACTCCCAAATTTTATGTGACTGCTGATAGTATCTCTTCTAATAATTGAATGGTACATTTTAGTCATTACAAATTATTTCAGAGTTGTATTATTTTATTCAGCCTATTCATTTGCCACCATACAGCTGGTTTAAAATCTTTTCTCATATTAAATATTTTTTAAAATGATTATACATATGTCTGCATTTCACAGAAATAGTGGGCATTTGAGAAGAATGGTAAATGGATGAGATGAAGCAGTAAGATATAAAAACAAGAATGAGTTAAATATAAAACTTAAAAACTGACATTTTTCACAAGATAATATTAAGAATGAAAGAAAACATTTGAGAAAGATGAAGAGTACAGGAAAAAATACAAGTTAAGCAAAAGCAAGTACTTGTCTCCAGGAGAAACGAAAACTCATTAGGAAAGTATAAAGTCAAAAAAATATGAGAAGACATACTAATTAGTGTTTTTTTCTTTTTTGGCACAGAATCACACTTTGTCACTCAGGCTGGAGTGCAGTGGCATGATTTCGGCTCACTGCAACCTCTGCCTCCTGGGTTTAAGACATTCTCCTGCTTCATCCTCTTGAGTAGCTGAGACTACAGGAGCACACCACCATTCCTGGCTATTTTTGTATTTTTGTAGAGACAAGGTTTTATCATGTTGACCAGGCTGGTCTCGAACTCCTGACCTCAGATGGTCTACCTCCCTCGGCCCCCCAAAGTGCTGGGATTACAGGAATGAGCTAGTGAGTGCTGCCCTGATTAGTTTTTTTTTTTTTTTTTAATCATTGAAAACTTTTTAACTTACACATATTGTCAAGCTCTGCTAGGCAGAATCCACCAATTTTTCACTTTCTCAAAATGGAATAGTCCTTGAAATATTTCTTATACCACTAGGGTGCCATTCAGTAAATTGCTTCTTTATAAGCACTAAATTGCACACTAATGTCTTGAGAAAGAAAGTCATCTACTCCCTCAGATTATAAATGTTATCTCATTAGTTCTAAAAACATACCTATGAGGATGAAAATGGAAATGGGAAATATCTCTATGATTTTAGAGGTTGAACGATTGAGACACTAAACATAGAACATCAGAATTATCAATATTCCAAATTATAGAGCTCCCAATATAAAAATCTAATGTTTGATCTACTTAATAAGAAATGTAAAATTTAGTTATCTGCATGCCTATGTTTGCAAAGCATATACTAGGTGTTATAAAAATTATGATTTCAATAATCTTTTTTCAATTTGTAATGGCATTTTTTGTTATTGTTTAGTAATGAACAAATGAAAGAAATTGCAAATGAATAAAATGAGACACTAGCATATTACAATAAAAAGTGAGTGAATGAGTAAAACAAAGATTCACATTTTTTTTTTCAGCAAGGTAATATTAATCCTGAAACCAAACATATGACAGATGAAGGGTACAAAAAGAATTTATGATTTTGAAAAAGTTTGTTTTACAGAATTATCTTTCATGTTTATACTTTAAATTTTCTTTCATGATTTCTCACTTTCTAAATATGTTTATTTCCTGCAACTTTATGAATAATTTCAGGGATTTTACACTTGTTAATGACTCAGTCTTTTCTATTGTGTTTTTGCTGTTATCTGCCTGGAAGACAGAACACACATAGGCAAGTCATTGAGGGCATGAGGCTTTAGGCAGTCACAGGGTTTCACTGTGGAAGCAGTGATGCTACTGAAAACTGTGCTGAATCCTGGGATGTCTTGGCCTCTAAAGGCCTTACTGGGCCACTTTTTCTGCTGACTCTAATGCCCTGACTCCTGCTGATACAACTTCACTTTATATCCAGGTCAGTATTTTAAAGCAAAATTATCTAATGCTATTTCTCTGAAGTGTTTCACTATTGGCATTTGCATGTCCAGTCAATTATCTCTGGTTTTGTATTTTTTCACTTCTCGGAATCTCTGGTTATTCTTCCCAGCTGTCAGGACCTTGAGTGTCACCAATCTGTTTGACATTTCTTGAACTTCAGAGACCAGAATGCAGAATTCCTACCTCATTTCAACCAAGTAATAACTAAGCCCCTGCTGAAATTCTTGTATGCAAACAGATGTCTCAGAGAGTAAAGCTTAGCTCTACACTTTAACATCTAATCTTAAGTACTCATTAAATCCAATCTACTGTTACATGTTTCCACAGAATTATGTATGGGTGCTTGACAGATAACTAAGGGTGATTTCTAGACTGCCAGCTTGAAAGTAGTTTCAGTATGCTGGCTCCATTTCATCTTTTAAAATGGTATAATACAGTTTCTGTAGGGTTCCTTGCTATAATTATACCAGTAGTCTAGAAGTCGCTATGTATTTCTTGTTTCCAGTCTACTCACTTCATACCACTCATCTTGTTGATCTAAATAATAATAATAGTAATACAGATTTTACTGTAAAGGAAAAACCCTATTTAGAGAAATTTCCCATAGTTATCCAGAATGTAGATTTTACATTTAACAAACTATCTTAAATTTTATAATAGCAGAAAGGAATTTCAACAGGTTAAATTAGGAGAATACAATTACACTCAGGAAGAAAAACTGATTGCAAAATAAATTTGTACTCTGGTTTTCTGATATTTTTCCCTTGAAACCTGAAAATCAGTGATAATTGCTGTATCAGGTGATACACTGGTTCCCTTACCTAAACAATCTATTATGATTATCGCATTGCTAGTTACAGATGACCTTGCTCTGATCACATATTTTTAGTGATTGATGGTGCCAGAAATACTGAAGTTTTCTGCACTGCTTCTCCTCTCTGTGCCTTGACTTGGTCTCTGCAATTCCTTGTCAATCTGGCCTTTTATCTTTCTACAATTAATAGAAAGAAAGGTGGTGTTGTTCTCTACTTTCTTTTTTTTCATTTTTAAAAATTATATTTTAAGTTCTCGGGTACATGTGCAGATCATGCAGGATTGTTAAAAAAGGTATACACATGCCATGGTGATTTGCTGCATACATCCCCCCATCACCTACATTAGGTATTTCTCCTAATGTTATCCCTCCTCTAGCACCCTCAACCCCCAACAGGTCCCAGTGTGTGATGCTCCCCTCCTTGTGTCCATGTGTTCTCATTGTTCAATACCCAATTATGAGTGAGAACAAGTGGTGTTTGGTTTTCTGCTCTTGGGTCAGTTTGCTGAGAATGACGGTCTCCAGCTTCATCCATGTCCCTGCAAAGGACATGAACTCATCATTTTCTATGGCTACATAGTCTTCCATGCTGTATATGTGCTACATTTTCTTTACTCAGTCTATCATTGATGGGCATTTGGGTTGGTTCCAAGCCTTGCTATTGTAAACAGTGCCATGATGAACATACGTGTGCCTGTGTCTTTATAATAGAATGATTTATAATCCTCTGGGTATATACCCAGTAATGGGATTGCTGGGTCAAAAGGAATTTTTATTTCTAGGTACTTGAGGAATCACCACACTGTCTTCCACAATGGTTCAACTAATTTAGTCTTCCACCAGCAGGGTAAAAGTGTTCTTATTTCTCCACATCCTCTCCAAAATCTGTTGTCTCCAGATATTTTAATGATCACTATTCTAACTGGCGAAAGATGGTATCTCAATGTGGTTTTGATTTGCATTTCTCTGATGATTCCAGTGATAATGAGCACTTTTTCATGCTTGCTGGCTGCATAAATGTCTTCTTTTGAAAAGTGTCTGTTCATATCCTTAGCCACTTTTTAATAGGGTTGTTTGTTTTTTGCCTGTAAATTTATTTTAGTTCTCTGTAGATTCTGAATATTAGCCATTTTTCAGATGTGTAAATTGTAAAAATTATTTTCCATTTCGTTGTTTGCCAGTTCACTCTAATGATTGTTTCTTTTGATGTGCAGAAACTCTTAGGTTTAGATTGATCCCATTTGTCTATTTTGGCTATTGTTGCCATTGCTTTTGGTGTTTTAGTCATGAAGTACTTGCCTATGCCTATATCCTGAATGGTTTTGCCTAGATTTTCTTCTAGGGTTTTTATGGCATTAGGTCTTATGTTTAAATCTTTAACTTATCTGGAGTTAATTTTAGTGTAAGGTGTCAGGAAGGGGTCCAGTTTTACATTTCTGCACATGGCTAGCCAGTTTTCCCAACACTATTTATTAAATAGGGAATCCTTTCCCCATTGCTTGTTGTTTTCAGGTTTGTCAAAGATCAGATGGTTGTAGATGTGTGGCTTTGCTCCCTAGGCCTCTGTTCTGTTCCACTGGTCTATATCTCTGTTTTGATACCATGCTGCTTTGATTACTGTAGCCTTCTAATATCATTTGAAGTCAGGTAGTGTGAAGGCTTCAGCTTTGTTCTTTTGAATTAGGATTGTCTTGACTATGCAGGCTCTTTTTTGGTTCCATATGAAGTTCAGTTTTTTTTTTTTCAGTTCTGTGAAGAAGGTCAATGGTAGCTTGATGGGGATAACATTGACTCTATTCATTTTACTTTGTTCAAGCTATTAAATGGTTCTTGAATGTAGAGTATGTGAAAGGAGGGTAAGAAGCTGGCTAAATATTCAGAACCCAAAGTAGATACATTAAGATGGTCAATGTCTTAGTCCATTCCCACTGTTACAACCAAATACCTTAATCCAGGTGTGGTGGCATGTGCCTGTAGTCCCAGTTAGTTGTGAGACTAAGGAGGGAGGATCATTTGAGCCCAGGAGTTTGAGGCCAGCCTGGGCAGCATGGTTAGACCCTGTCTCTGGAAAAAAATGATCTTAGCTTGGGTAATTTTTTAAAAAATAAAAATTTATTGCTTTTAGTTCTGGAGACTGGGAAATGCAAGGTTAAGGTGCCAGCAGATTTGATGCTGGTGATGGCTTACTCTGTTTCAGATATGGCACCTCCTACTGGATCTGTCCAATGGCAGAAGGGGCAATCTGTTCCTGGAGATCTCTTGTATAAGGTAACTGATCTCATTCATGAAGGCAGAGACCCTATACCCTAAGCAATTCCTACATTTCTTAATACCACTGTAATGAGGACTCAGCTTTGAAATAAAATTTGGAGTGAGTCAAACACTGAGACCATAGTAGCAAATTTTATGGTGAAATAACGTAGTACTAGACTCAGCAGTCCACATCAGAACAAAATCTTTGAGGTGTTCTCTATGTAAGGGTTGACCAATGTCCTGCTTAGCAATTATTCATTAAGTCAGAATCATATTGACATTGATCATATTAAGCTAATGTGAAGTTATTATTTTACTGTGTTTAATAGCAGCTTCTTTTCTTTAGAAATACTTAATGGGATAGAAATGTATAACTATATAGGAAAAGAAAGAAAGCCTTTTTAAAAAATTGTACTTTAGGTTCTGGGTTACATGTGCTGCCTCCATACCCCTGTCACATATATCTGGCATTTTTCCTCATGTTATTACTCCCCAACCTCCTCACACCCTGCTGTCCCTTCCCTAGCACCCCCCCAACATATGCCAGTGTGTGATGCTCCCCCTCTGTGTCCATGTGTTCTCACTGTTCAACACTTGCATGTGAGTGAGAACATGCAGTGTTTGGTTTTCTGTTCTTGTGTCTGTTTGCTAGGAATCATTGTATCCAGATTCATCTATGTCCCTACAAAGGACAAAAACTCATTATTTTATTTTATTTTATTTATTTATTTATTTATTTTTTATTGCATTTTAGGTTTTGGGGTACATGTGCAGAGCATGCAATACAGTTGCATAGGCACACACATGGCAGTGTGTTTTGTTTGCTTTCTCCCCTTCACCCACATTTGGCATTTCTCCCCAGGCTATCCCTCCCAACCTCCCCCTCCCACTGGCCTCCCCTTTTCCCCCAGGAGACCCCAGTGTTTAGTACTCCCCTCTCTGTGTCCATGTGTTCTCATTTTTCATCACCTGCCTATGAGTGAGAATATGCGGTGTTTCATTATCTGTTCTTGTGTCAGTTTGCTGAGAATGATGTTCTCCAGATTCATTCATGTCCCTACAAATGACACGAACTCATCATTTCTGATTGCTGCATAATATTTCATGGTGTATATGTGCCACATTTTCCCAATCCAGTCTATCATCGATGGGCATTTGGGTTGATTCCAGGTCTTTGCTATTGTAAACAGTGCTGCAATGAACATTCGTGTGCATGTGTCCTTATAGTAGAACGATTTATAGTCCTTTGGATATATACCCAGTAATGGGATTGCTGGGTCAAATGGAATTTCTATTTCTAAGGCCTTGAGGAATCGCCACACTGTCTTCCACAATGGTTGGACTAATTTACACTCCCACCAACAGTGTAAAAGTGTTTCTTTTTCTCCACATCCTCTCCAGCATCTGTTGTCTCCAGATTTTTTAAAGATCGCCATTCTAACTGGCGTGAGATGGTATCTCAATGTGGTTTTGATTTGCATCTCTCTGATGACCAGTGACAATGAGCATTTTTTCATATGATTGTTGGCCTCATATATGTCTTCTTTCATAAAGTGTCTGTTCATATCCTTTGCCCAATTTTGAATGGGCTTGTTTGTTTTTTTCCTGTAAATCTGTTTGAGTTCTTTGTAAATTCTGGATATCAGCCCTTTGTCAGATGAGTAAACTGCAAAAATTTTTTCCCATTTGGTTGGTTGCTGATCCGCTCTAGTGACTGTTTCCTTTGCCGTGCAGAAGCTGTGGAGTTTCATTAGGTCGCATTTGTCTATTTTGGCTTTTGTTGCCAATGCTTTTGGTGTTTTGTTCATGAAGTCCTTGCCTACTCCTATGTCCTGAATAGTTTTGCCTAGATTTCCTTCTAGGGTTTTTATGGTGCCAGGTCTTATGTTTAAGTCTGGAGTTAATTTTAGTGTAAGGTGTCAGGAAGGGGTCCAGTTTCTGCTTTCTGCACATGGCTAGCCAGTTTTCCCAGCACCATTTGTTGAACAGGGAATCCTTTCCCCATTGCTTGTTTTTGTCAGGTTTATCAAAGATTGTATGGTTGTAGCTATGTTGTGTTGCCTCTGATACCTCTGTTCTGTTCCATTGGTCTATATCTCTGTTTTGGTACCAGTACTATACTGTTTTGAT